AAATTGAATTTAAAACTTAAGTAATAACGTCACCGTCAATAATCGATTTAGAGATATTGTCCGTACTTGATACAAACATGACTAACTTCAGTGACTGGACATGGCTAACTCTAATCAACTCTAATCTTTATACGTAAAAATAAAAATCAAATTGCCGTCCGTTAGTCACCGACTCCTGCGAGTCGACCGTTTTTGCTGTAATTTTTGGTGTGTGTTGGATCCCTGGATGGTAGATTCACAATTGAACCCGGTAGGTGGCGCTGTTGTCAATATCAAAAACTCACCCGTGCAATGCCCGTGGGGGGACGCTAGTAATAAATAAATTTTTGTTAAAAAAATTTGATTACCTATAAGTAATTAAAACATTAAACAAACCCAAGTCTTAATTAACGAAGCATTCTAACTTCAATTCTCAAGGTATCAACACAACTCTTTTCTGATAACGAGTCATTCCATCTTAGACCAAATTTCTCACTACTTTCCGCTATGAAGTTTTCTTGACGGAGAACGCTTTTGTGCCATCATCAATAGCTCATACTAAGAGACTCGAAGAACGACGCAGAGGAGGATAGCTATAAGTTACATTGGTTTCATTGGCCACAATATCAAAAACATGCCATTAAATCGAGCCGCCATAAGGTAAGTGTAATCAACACTCATCTGGATATTTTCAACAGTCAGTCAAATAAGCATATACGAGTATTTTTGTTTCACTAATCAGCCACGCAATTACGACTTGCGATAAACGCTTTCCAGATAACTTATTTCGGAACAACCTTTTCGATGTCATGAACTAAAACAAGGCTGGTCACTCATGCTCACCCGTTAGACATTTGATCACGTTTCATACCGCTACCTTTTTAAATTTTTCAAGCGGCGAATACGTTATTCCGACGTATTAAAATGTTTCGGAACCTAACATGGACATGACAAAGGTTATATGTAACGTTCATGTCAACAATTAGCGCCTTTACAATATGGTAGTGAACACTGCAGCTATATTATGCTTGTTGGACAAATTGGATCCGTTCACCCGGGAAAAGACCACACTCCCGCAGAACACCAGATTAAAATTGCAACTCTTAATCCTGCTGTGTTTCGTATGGTGTGTAGAGAATCGAAGACCGTTTTTACTGCATAGACATTCCATCAAAGTCCTCGGGAGTGATATCACATCTGCACTTTGAATCGTAATTGATGATGCTTTATTCTTTAAAAAAGAGTTTTTGCACCGGCAAAGGCTTTTTTATTGTCAGGAACACTAAGATTGAAGCTGTTAATGTCAATGTTTATCTAGGACAAATTGTCCGACTATTTGAGAGACTAAACACATTACATGTGAATCCAAAATGTTGTCCTTCACCGCTGGCCGCATGAGGAGCTCAAGGTCGCTCAGCGAGCTATTGAAAGAAAGTGTCTCTGAGCTACATAGTTCGAAATGAAGATATGTGTGCATTGGAACTAGGTGCACTCATCAGTCCCTAGATTAAGAATACTTTCTAAAAATGTAATAATGTGTACTCTGCTGGTGTCCTATGAATAAATAAATATATAAATCAGAATAACCAACATAGCCCATCGGTTTAAAGTAGGCTGAAGTGGAGATGGGCCGGCCATATTGCTCGAAGAACCGACAAAGACTCTCGAGTGGCAGCCACTATGGAGAGATGATCTTATAAGAACGCGTTGATGAACGCAGGTGGCTCAGGACCATGTTTTGTGACGTTCCTTGGGGTTCTATCATCAGTGGACTTGTAAAAGGCTGGAACTTTTCTGGGACTTTGTTATATATTGCCCTATAAATAAATTAATGACTGAGAATACAGGGCTTTTAATTGTACGATTAAAATGTAACTAACCTACTCGTGTCCTAGCATTCAGCAACATCCTGTAAAAATTCACTACTGACCTCGGGTCTTTCTCGGAATCGCCTCAATCGCCAGGTGTAGGTCTGGCAGACGGTTTGAGGGTCGCAATACCAGACGTCCCGCACCTATGTCGCTGCTCCCAGTCTCAGGTTTCGGTATCTTACCATGAGATTTTGTATTAACAAATAAATCGTTACTGAAAACTGTACAATAAATACACTGGCGTGTAATTAAACGGGCCAAAATACACAAACTTAAGAACTTATACTTTTTACTTGTATCATGGCATATGAATGTCAGATAGCCTAGGAATACAAATAAAATAAACAATAACTAATTTAAGTTAGACTTTGGTACAAAAAAGAAAACAAAAATATGGTTTACAGAAGTTTATACATAAAAGATGAGCCGAAGAATTTCTGGGATAAAAAAGACTTCGTGTTATTTTTTTAATGTTTTTTTTTCCACTTTTACGTTTAATAACAGCTTTTAGTCTATTTTTGTAAGATTCAAACATTTTTAATGAAATGTTTGAGATTGAACGAAGTTCAACTTCGTTTCACACGGTTTTCAAATTTTGGATGTTGGTGGTAACCACATTGCGACTTCTAACTTTTCTTTTGAGTTGGTCCCCAAAATTCTCTATTGGATTAGGATTAAGGTCAAGGCTTCTGGCTGGCCTCACATTAGTGGACAACCCCAACCACTTGAAGATCTTGTATAATAAGAAAATTTTCTCCGATGATTTCCGGCAACTTGCGTTATTTTACTGGCGATAGTCAAAAATCCATTGTCAATGAAGATTTACTCAGTTTTGGCTCGTAAGTGAAATCACCAAAAAACATTACTAAGCCTTATAAGCCAGTTTCCGACATGGTACGTCGCGCTTATCCTTTTCCTGGTCATAGGTACACAAGAAAATGACTATCAGCGGCATATAAGCATATTCTAATGTCATCATTTTTGACGTGGTACAGCCAAGTTGCAGCTATATTACGGTTGTGACATGAAAGAGTCGGGTAGGCCCCCGCTCTCATAGAATACCAGCTCAAACTAGCAGCTTAATGCTGCTATGTTTCGTATTGTGAGTGTAGAGAATCGGAGACCTTTTTTTACTGGAAACGAGGCATTCTATATTTGCCTTCAGTGGTGACAACAATTTTGACTCTTAATCGAGGATAAATGTAGATGTATATGGGCCACAGCATCCACTTACCATCAGTAAGTTTGTGTGTTTGTTTGTCACCGTTATTCAATAAAAAAAATCTAACTTGAGAACTTTGTTCCATTGCTCTACACTGCAATTGACATGTTCTCGGTTAATGGACCATCAGATAGACTGTATGACAAACAAGACTTTAAAGTGCATAAAAAGTGGGTGCCGGCTCATTTTTACCCGACTTCAGGAAAAAAGGAGGGTCTCAATTCGATTGTACGTCTTTATTGTACGTGTATAGGTTCAAAGAAAAGTTTCTTGTTCTTATAGTTCATGAGTGGTGGTGGAGGTCCTACGTAAATTTCAATAGATTTTTTTTCTTTTAAATAAAAGTTACTAGGATTTTCTCCAATATCGTGGAGGCAGTTTGCATACATAAATTGCATGAGGATAAACATCCAGACCCGTAACAATTATATTATGTAGGCCTTACAAATACTTGTTCCGTGCGGGATTCGAACCCGCGGCCCTCAGTGCTATAACTGATTGTTGTGCTACTGCGCCATAGAACCGTCAAAATATTCCCTATGGGTGGAAAAATAATGGATGAAATGTTTAATGTTAAGTGAAATGTTTAGTGTTAAGGGGATATAGTAAGTCAGCTCAAATTCTAATTTCGCCTCCACTTCCCCGCGCGTCGTATGCTATGTACCGACATGTTTGTAATCACTAATATTGTAAGTAGATAGGTCGTTAGACACTTATTTCAATAGGTTTATGATATTTATGCCTGTTTCTTAAACGCCAACCCAGTCGCTTCTTATTTTTATCACGGTTATTTCTCATTTTAATTTTACGTCGTCCTGTTGGGTAATTTGTATTCTGATCGTAAGCGACACAACTTCTCCCTTCAAAAGCCTAAGCGATACTAACGGGGCGACAGGAATCAAGCTTTAAGACGCCGATAGTTTAGGTAATTTCTTTTTACAGTGAAAATAATGGTATTTAAAAAAAATAACATAGGCACTGCTTTATAGTTAATTTAGTTAGTACGCAAAAATTCATGGTCTTATTTAAAGTATTTTATGAATAACAGCGGTTTATTGTTCAGTTTGGAGGTAACTTTGGATTTTTTTCTATCGAGAAAATTTTACCGAATCGTATTTTCGTCTAACATAGTTCTTAACATTAATCCTCAACTTTACCATATATTTATTTCAAAATTAATGCTGCAATACTTTCGGCATAACGAAGGATCTTGCTAAGCCATTTGAGGTTATATTTCCCCTTAAGGCTTTGAGCTTATGATGAAAAGAACCTTTAAATAAAAATTTAAACTGTCGAAGTTAGTCGAAGTAAGAAAGTGTTGAGTTAGTACTAAGTTAAATTTTATAGAATATAAGAATAAAAGCTCCGACATCAGAAGCTGTAAAAATAAATTTTATTTTATTTAATTAATTCTTCGATGTTTGCTTTCATTTCCATTGACGGTAATTTGTTCAAGAATATTCATTAAAATTAAATTAATAATCTATTTCAAATTTGCAGCTGAGTAATAATAAATATACTCAATAAATTATTCGACATCTGATCTAACAGCTTGTTAAATAGTTTATCAAATAAATATTTGTTATTCATCCAATATCATCTATAACAGTAATTAGCCCATAAGACGTCTGCTTCTAATTTCACTAAATTATGATTGCAATAAAAGTGTGTTCATTCAACACCCTAAAATAATAACCGCAGCCCTTGGCATTGGTAAAGTTAACATATTGATTCATTCCAATTTGAACTTTATAATTGCAATGTTAAAGATTCCAATCATAGGAGGAACACGAATTTTCGAACGTCGAATTCCTATATCGTTTAAATATCGAACAGATTGAAGTTCGGTATAAAACGTCCGCAGATTCATCGCATTGCCACATTCCACTATCATCACCCTTAGGCGACGCATCCACAAATCCGCAACCATGAAATACGTTAGTACTTATTTACTTTATGTAACAGTTTAAGTGTGAAATATCGTTTGACTCTGTATTTGAATGTCACAAGGTCTTTCGTGAATATAAGCCTTAAGTTTTTTAGTAAACGTGTGATTTAAATATTTTTCACATAAGTAACAGTCTATCCTGCGTGCAAAGACCTCCTCTTAATTCTGAAAGGATGAAGCCCAAGGAGGATTCTACCGCGCTGCTCCAATGCTTGATTGCTCAATCTCAATATATTCTTTGTTTTTCACTCATAAATATTTCCCGCGATGTGTTCTTTCTCCGGTCATCATATAGTAAATAGGCACTTAAAATTGCAATTTACGATTTCATTGGTTGATTTCAAAGTTGGTTTTTATGTGCAGATGAGCGGTTATGGCTTAAGTCGTCATGGTTCTTTATACTCTAAGCTACCAGAGCTTACTATCTTCTCAAATTATTATCGAAACTTTTTTTCGTTGTATTATTATCAAAACGTAATAAGTATTTAGTCAAACGGATAGCTGTTAAATTGGGCCAAGTTATTTACTGAACATAAGTGTAACAACAAATAAGCCACTTAAAATCACATTTTTTTATAAATGTACCTTTTTAGCTTGGAATAACTTTAAATTACGGATTTACATGTTAACTATAATTTTATATATGTATTGAAAGGAAATATTTTAACAACAACTGCACTCTACTTAAATGTCAGTTTACTTCATTGTTGAACTTTATTGAATAGTAAATAAATAATATTAATTTAATGATAAATTACAATATTTAACTAATATTACTACTTGTATAACGTGTTGCTAATATAATATATTTTTTATATTTAAACCTTTACTGATTTCATTTAATTTTTAAATAAAACTGTATTTTCAGCTTATCGTATTGACCGTGGCTACGATAGCCAGTGCAGCCCGCTTGGACAAAGTCTACCTTCCGGCTAATTCAGCATCATCAAGTGGTTTTAATGCTGGTCTACAAACACCCCTGACCTCTGGATCCAGACCTGCTCAGAGCTACTCAGGATCAGCTCAGAATTACAATTCAGCATCTGCGCAAAGCTTTTCATCCGCCTCTGCGAGCAGCCAAGCTGAGATCCTGAGATATGAAAACGAAATCAACGAGGAAGGCTACCATTACGCGTACGAGACTAGTGACGGTATCAAAGCCGAGCAAAATGGTAAGCTCTTCCAATATTTATTTATTAACTCCGCATTTGAAAGTTGTTGTAACTGGTGCGATATTTGAAAGTTCAAATTTCAACATACTTGTATGTCCATGTTTTAAGATCCATAGAGTCCGATGTGAACAGTGTATCTGTGGAAGTGTTTTTACATTATTAAGTTTGTACATTGTACTCGAGATGATATCTTTCGTACATTCGTTCATTAATTAACTTTTCGTGCCACATATCTCGAGAAAAGTGATGGTATATCGTTCATCACATCGTGTACTGGCGGTGACAGAATATTATCCACTATGCCATATTATCCTGTGGGTGTTGTAAGAGAACAGAGGGTAGCAAATTAGGAGATGGCCAGCTGAGTCTTCCTAATATCGAATAAAAATAAAAAACTGCGGTTGCCACTCTGCTTTCCATATTGCCAGTGGAATTTAATAGGCTGCAACGGTAACGGTTATATCATTGGGTGCGTTTGGCAGAAAAAAGCGCTAGCAAGCGCTTATAAGCGCTGAAATAGTTTTCGGCCAGGACACGATTGCTACTTCAGTAGCGCTGACACAATCCGCCATTTTGCTTATTTAATTTGTTTGTTTTGAAGTAGAGTTTATAAGTTGTTTTGTGCAATATTAGTACTAATTAATATAATGACATGAATAAACATATACATATTATTAAAAATTCATGATTGGTAAGTTTTTAATATGAATACTTTACAAAATTTAAATTAGGTTAGGTTTCCCGGTTAAAACTAACATCGTGTCCTGAAAGAAAATAGCTACTTACGATTTGACAGCGCTTACCGCTTACGATCGCCATTTTGCTTACAAGCGCTTGCTAGCGCTTTTTTCTGCCAAACGCACCCATTCTATCACAGCTTAACGACTCCTGAACTTCAATCAAATAAATCCTACAGGGTGGTAGTAAAAACTAGCATCATTAACAAATAACCGAAAGGAATTGCTACCACTAATTAATTGCATAGCTTATGCTTCAAGAATTCCTTAGAAAAGTGTTGCAGTTTACTGTTTTGATTTATACATAGCCTTAAAAAAGCATTTTTTTAATGCTGGCCGCCATTAAAGAAAATAAAAAACGTAATTTTAAATTTATCTAATTTTTTATCAAAAATCGATGACATCAACACAGTAACAATTTTCAGTCAATTTTCATGGACATAGTTCCTTTATTGGCATGCAATTAAGATCTGATTTCAATCAGGTATTTAACATAATTGTGAAGAGGCAACTTATTCTAGGGTACACATAAAAATAAAGAACAGTTTTAATCATAAAAGTTTTTACAGCGTTAACTAAGACGCATTTGGTTATGTAAAACTAAATAAACTAACGCGATAAAATCCATAATGATTTTTTATATTTACGCGAACACTACACCTTGATTTAAACTACTTTTACGGATTTTATCGCGTTTAATTTATTTGAGTTTCAATTCGCGACGTTTCGGGTGCTTTCTAGCACCCATGGTCACGGGGGACTGAGGTGACTGACGTCCTGATGTCAATGTTAACCCGGAAAAACTTCAGCATTCAATTATCATTTATGGTCCGATCTAGGCAGAATGAACTTACAGTATTTTGAAGTCCTGTTTCAAGTTCAGTTTAATTTTGACCCCAAGCAGGTGGTTGCTTTGAGTTACATTTTATTTAATACTAGCTTTTTACCCGCGTGAGCTTTAATTTAGAAACATCACCAAAATTAGCAAAGTTAGATCTCTTGTGGAGTCACCTCGGTATGTGTCTATATTGGACGTAAATGATTGAAATTTGGTTATATAATATGCTATAGAAACACATAAGTGAGCTTATCGAAATCGCATTATTATCATATGTCTAGCAATATCTTTTTTATAACGGGCATGTCTTTCGATGTGTCTTTATGAAGTTTAAATTGTCCTGTTGCGTTATTTACATTTTATTCATAATTAAAGGTAATACAGTTTTGACAAAATAATGTTTTATCAATACCCGGCATAGTGTTTATTTGAGATATTCGATTCAAATCATTGACCCCACTGAATATTGATTGTCACCATAAAATAGATGATTTTTACGTCCGAGTAGACTAAAATTTCATAAATGTAGTTCTATTTACGTTAGGCGAGTGAGAAGAACTATGTTCATGAACAGGAGTAGAAATATACAGAAGATGGGCGGTAGCACCTTCCTGATTACAACTTATAATTAAAAATAAAAAAGATACTTAAAATAATAAAAGATATAGTTAAAATAATAAAAGATAGTTAAAATAATAAAAGATATAGTTGGCAACCCGCCAGCCAAACGTGATAACTGCGGCAAATATGCTACTTATTTGGCAATCTATGGTAGAAATCAAACTGCTAAACGGGAGTAGAAATACATTAACCATGTAGAGGCGGCGAAAAAGGAACCAATAGCCCATTTCTTCTCGTCGATGTCGTAAAAGGTGACAGAGGGAAACTGAAACAGGAGACGGAGCCAGCATTTTCCTGATAACAGCGAAAAGTAATAAAAAACTGCGTCCGCCAACTCGCTTGTCAAGCGTGGCTCTTACTGCAAATATCCGGCCTAATTGACAAACAATGGGTTAGGCCTAAGAGCAGCGGTGAATAGCAATATTAAAAGTAAAAAACTAGCAGTCTTGATACATCATACTCTCGGGCATAGGCCGCAGCGAGTTTTAGGACAAAAAGAGTGAATGAGTTGACTCAAACGCAGGATGAACGACTCCACATATACCAAAAAAATAAGTTCCGAAATATTTTTTTAACTTCTCTGATCCACGTTTCCTCGCGATGTTTTCTTTCACCACCTATAAAGTGCTAAGTTTACACTTCAAATTGCATTTTTTTTATAGAAGAGGGGGCAAACGAGCATGCGGCTCACCTGATGTTAAGTGACTACCGACGCCCATGATCAACCGCAACACCAGTGGAATTGCAGGTGCGTTGCCGGCCCTAAAATATGAGTGTCGTCGGTGCGGATCAAATTTGGATTGCTTTCGTACCTACTATGAAATTAACATTTGGAACGGTTCGATTACCGCCTTTGACTAAAGTATCTTTATTTAAACTAAAACTAATTTCAGTTTATTCAAAGATAAAAAAATCAATACATACTAAAACTTTTTATAGATAAGAAATTAAATTTAGAAACATCCTAAATTTTATAATTTTCGATAGAGTTTACTATTATCTACCTAGATAGTAATTAGTTAAGTATTATAAAATTTATTTATCCCTACTAAAATTAAAAAAGAACTGTAAAAATTTACGTTAGTGTTTAAATAAATTATGAATTTAATTATTTTAACATATAAATGTAAGTTATTTATATGATTTCATTTATAAGTAACTGGAGGCAAAATGTTACTACTTTTTGTGTTTTATGTTAGATGGCACTGATTTAAAAAAGTTAAACGTATTGTAGCATAAAATTAATACGCAGCGTTTAAAACGAATTTAAAACTTTATTTTTAAATATGCATGTGTAATCTTTATATTAAATATGTATTTATTAAGAAAAAACACATCAATCAAACAAAATAGAAATTAACATCTTGAGGAAGAGAAATATTTAACTCTCCTTTTTATAAGTTCTGATAAAAGTAGCCTTTAAATTGACTAGGGTCCTAAACTACCTATATACGCTTTCCAAGCGTGGAAACTATGGCAAATATCCCCCCTCTGAGGCTACATATGAGGGGAGGCCTATGTTCAGCAGTGGTTAATAGGCTGTTACGGTAACGGAAACGGTCTAAAAACTGCAGTAGTTACTTACCAACGGGTAGACTTTAAGTTCTTTTGCCACATCAATTTTTTTAAAATATATTCCACTAAAGTTTTGCTAAAATGAGTTTTTGTTAAGGTTACCAATATATACCGTTATATTATTATATACATAACATACCGTTCTCCTACCATAAGTTGCTACGAAATAAAATGCAAAGTAAATTTTATTATATTTATAATATTTTTTATAGCATAGGGTGACAAACGAGCACACAGTCTACCTGATGGTAAGTGGTTGCTGTGGCCCATAGATATCTATCTATCCTCGATTACGAATCAAAATGCAAATGCGTTGTCACCCGTGAGGACTAAGATGGAATGCCACGTATCCAGTAAAAAGGGTCTCCGGTTCTCTACACTCACCATACTAAACACAGCAGCATTAAGTTACTATTTTACGCTGGTATTCTGTGAGAGCGTGGTCCTTCCCCGGTCGAGCCGACCCATTCGTGCTACAACTATAATACCAATATGGCTGCAGCATGGCTATATTTAATGATATTTAGGTACCCTAGCTCTGATAGATGTTATTGAATGCAAGCTGATTCATATAGATGCCTTTGACACTGTTATAAAAGGTCTAAAGTCATGTTACTAAAATCAATTCATTAGGCCGAATTGTTAAAGATCTATTAAATAAGATTTAGTACCATGTTAAAGATAAAATAATATGAGAGGCTTGTAATTCGATGCGGAATTTTTTTTGATACCTTTATTAGCAACAAGCTGTAACATCCTATTTCACTCCCTGTGGGGTTGAATTTTACGAATTCTTTTGTTAATGCGTGGCCTAGTCGCTGATACATGGACACTGATTCCTTCCAAGAATGATTTGCGATGCTATTGTAATCAAAAAATATCCTAATTTCCAAAAAGAAGATGGCTGGCTGCTACTATCAAAGATTTAAATACTATTTAAATCTTTGGCTACTATCTGCTTGGAATCCTATAATTAATAAAAGTACATCCCAACCCAAGCATACAACTGCAAGATATCAAGATACTATATTAAGCTTATTCTGGATTCGCCGTTACGCTGGGCTTTTTTTTCATAAAATGTGCTGCAATATTTTTGTGCAGGATTATAGCTAGACGCGAGGTTTTGCCATAATTTGTGGTGACAAGACATATATTTTAGGTTTAAAGCATCGAAATTGCACTCGTGCCTCTTTCTCTCTCACATTTCATCCAAGCATGTCTTCGATCTTATCATATAATTGTTACAGTGTGCACGTTTAAGATAACTTATTAGACCCTTTTTACTAGTAACGAAGTAGGTACATTCTATTTTAGTCCTCAGGGTCAACTATGCATTTGCATTTTTTAATCTTATTCGATTACAAAGGTACGAGCGTGAAGTAACAGCATGCTGATGCTGTTTCGTGTGATCAGTTAAGAGAACTGGGGTTCCTGTACCCCTTTGATTAGTAACAAGCCCTACCATTTTCGTTCCCAGGTATGATAACGCGTCTACATTTTGGTATTTAGACGATGTATATATGGGTGTCAGTTGGCCACATCACCCACCTACAGGTGGACTGTATGCTTACTATTTTAAAATCCTCGTCCGAACGCTAGTAAGGATAAGTAGGTATTTATGTATTAGCGAGTAGTTTTTCGTCAATATTATATAATACTTTTTAAGATTAAAATATTTCAAATATTTCTTTATTATTATTCATTTTGATCTCTTCTGCGGTTGTTTCGACTTTCAAATGTTTTACACGGACCATAGAAGACGTAATAACTGTGACTAGCTGGCGGTTAATGACTATTCCGTGGATATTCTAAAAAAAATGAGACGTACAGTAGTGTCACTCATATACATTCGTTACTCCTATTATGCTCGTAACACTTTAAGATAGCCAAAGCTAGATGTCGGATTTTGATAAAAATTACGCCTCTACCGATTTTTCATAATTTCAGTAATATACTCGTGTACCATGTGTGACCAATAATCATAAAACATTTTCATAAAATAAGTGGTGAATATTACCTACCAAAAAACTTTCTTCCTTGACCTAAAACCCTGTCATAAATGAGAGGAGGCCAGTGTACAGCCGTTGGGCGTACAATTTAACTTACTTAATTTCTTATTTCTTGCGGTCTAATTATGTGCAAATAAGTTATTGTTTTTAGATCTCAAGTTCTTTTGTTTGTATTTTTGTATGTTAAGAAATTAATTAATTCATTATAGCCTATCAAAGTCCACAGCCGAAAGAGTCCTCCCCATAGATTGCCTCGTAAGGGAATGTTTACCATAGTTGCCACGCTCTATAGGTGGGTTGGCAAGCACAGCCTTTTATTTTCTAGCTGTCATTAGAAGCTGCTACTGCACATCTCCTAGTTTGTTCCCGTATTTGAGGCAACAACGGGAGCGAACTATGAGATAGCCACAGGACGATATCGGGTAGTGGGTATTCGTACACCACCAATTGCGTGCTATCGCCAACGCTGTTTCTTCTGCATATCAATGATATTTTGCAAACCCGTAACATTCATTGCTATGCAGATGACAGCACTGGTGATGCTCTTTACACCGGCCGAGCCAATATTTCTCGGGAAAACGTCTCCGAGTGCCGGGACAAACTTGTGTCTGAAGTCGAGTCTTTGCTGAACAGAGTCTCGGATTGGGGGCGACTAAATCTAGTCCAGTTTAACCCCCAGAAGACACAAGTTTGCGCGTTAACCGCTAAAAAGAACCCCTTTGTCGTATTTCCTCAGTTTCAAGGCACTCCCCTTGTTGCCTCAGCCAGTATCGGAATCCTCGCGTTGACATATCGAGTGACGTGCAGTTTCGTGGTCACTTGGAAGAGAAGGCCAAATTAGCCTCTAAAAAGCTTGGCGTGCTCAGCAGAGCGGAACAGTATTTCATGCCGGCACACCGCCTACAACTTCACAAGGCGCAGGTTCGGCCGCACATGGAATACTGTTCCCACTTCTGGGCTGGGGCTCCCCAGTACCAACTCTTCCACTTGACCGCATCCAGCGCAGAGCGGCTCGAATCGTCGACGACCGAGTGCTTTCCGATCGGCTCGATTCACTGGCACTGCGAAGAGATGCATCTCTTTGCATTTTCTTTCGCATATACCATGGAGAGTGCTCTGAGGAATTATTCGGATTAATCCCAGCCGCCAAATTTCGTGAATGCACTACGCCGAAATCGTCCCGATACCATCCACACCATCTGGATGCTTGGCGGTCCACCACTGTGCGTTTCAAGAGGAGTTTTCTTCCGCGTACAACCTCTCTGTGGAATAGTTTACCACCAGCGATTTTTTTCGGAGCGATACGACCTGGGGACCTTCAAGAAAAGAGCTTACTACTTTCTAAAGGGCCGGCAACGCACCTGCATTTCCCCTGGTGTTGCGGTTGATCATGGGCGGCGGTAGTCACTTAACATCAGGTGAGCCGCATGCTCGTTTGCCCCCTCTTCTAAAAAAAATACACGGTAATAGTTATGACATGAACACGGAATGGTATACGTATCTAATAATGTTTTATAATATTGTTATTATTTATTATAAAAACTATTTGAAAGGACCTATTTATATTATTAAGTACCAGTATCAGTGTTTTCAATGACCCAGTAATGTCTTTTAGATAAAGTATAGTCGCATTATATACTAGGACATCTCCGTATTTAATTACCCTGTTCTGCTGCCTTGCAATTATACTTTGTAATTCGCATGCAAACTTTGTGTCCACATATAATATAGATAATGTTGAACTTAAACAACCATTTTATAAAATTTTAATTATACCATGTCAAACAGAAACAGAAACAGAAACTTTTTTATTCAATATAGATTATAAACAATACTTATTGAAAGTCACTTTTTTTCATTTACCACTCGTTCACAAAAAACCCTCTGTCCTGGGAAGAACCAGCAAGAAACCCAGCGGGACTGTTTTTTCAAATAATAGCTTACAATCATGTTTACAATTAACAACACTAGACAAATTGGAAATAGCTTAGTAGCGATCACCCTTCCCAGGGGTTATTATCATCCGTAAATTCCTTAATATTATAATAACCCTTTTTATACAAACTTAGTTTAATAAAAATTTTGAACTTTGCGTATGACAAATTTTGTATATTTTCTGGGATTTTGTTGTAAAAGCGTATACATCGCCCCAAGAATGAATTACTGACTCGGTGGAGTCGAGTATCTACTAGCTTGTGTCTGTTCCTAGTATTTACAGAATGAATATCACTTATTTTTGCAAAACTACGTTTATTCTTGCGTACGTAAATTACATTTTCATAAATGTATTGAGAGGCCAGAGTTAAAATATTAATTTCCTTAAATTTTTGTCTCAGTGACCCTTTTGGTTTTAAATTATATATTGCTTTAATGGCTCTCTTCTGTAAAATAAATATAATTTCAGTGTCAGTCGGGTGTCCCCATAGCAAAATATCATACGACATAATGCTATGGAAATAACTATTCTAGCTGTTTCAACACTAGTAAGAGTTCTAATCTTTTTTACTACATATGCTGCAGAACTAAGTCTGCTAGCTAGTTTTGATACATGGGGGAGCCATTGAAGCTTTGCGTCCAGTGTGATTCCAAGAAAAATGGTGGTATCAACAAGACTCAGTTCTTCCCCATTTAAAATTACATTCGTATTAACATGTTTGACATTAGGAGTTACGAATTTCATACATTTAGTTTTCCATTAAATGCAAATTATTAACATTAAACCAATTGACTAACTTAGCTAAACTACTCCACACTTTGAGTTTCTTTGGTATATTTATGGTTTTTGCATATAAATTCTAAGTGGCAAATATTCAATCTCTACTATCTAATCTACCAGGCGGTAGAATTTTTCTATGTAAATATATAAATTATACTATATTCTATATTTGATGTTGCCACGAATGAAAATTCTCTTGTTAATAAAACTAATCAAAATTTAGAAGTAGCTAATTCCACATTCAAAATAAAACGAAAGGTCACTTCTAGTCACGCCGCAAAAGTTCGAAGGCGTTACACCGATGACAGTTTTCGTGATGATATCTGAATTCGTGACTTTGCAAACTTTGAAATCCGCGTGATATGCTCCAACGACTTTTAATGCTTAAACTTTGGAGGAACCTCGTTATGATTAAGAGTCTAAATCTAAATAAAAAGACTGATGAAACTTAAGAGTTTCGTAACAATTTCTACATTAGAATGAGAACAGGAAATAGTTCTTAAGAAATTCATAAAAGGTTTAGAAAATAAGTAGCTAGCCGTGCAAAAAATAATGTCTTACCTATTGTGGAGAGTACCGTCCGACCACCAGTTTACCGCACTATGCCCGTCGCCACTTTACTAAAAAAGGTAAACCACTGTCGCTAAAACAGTATTATATATAACACAATAACTATAATTATTTTGACTGCCTCGATGGTCTAGTAGTCGTGAACGTGCTGCTGATCATGAGGTCCTGAAATAGAATGCCGGGTTTGGCCAAAATCAGTTATGGAGTTTCTTTGTCTCAGTATCAGCCTGATGACGAATGGTTTGGCTAGACCGGGAAAAGACCACTCACTATCACCGCAAAATAGCAACTTAATGCTGCTATATTTCGCATGGTGAGTGTAATTAATTGGAGACCCTCGACTAAGAATCGAATTCTAATGTGTTGTCATCCCTGAGTAGTAAGATAAAGTGATTTGTTTCCAGTAAAAAGGGTCTCATCAAAGGAAATTAAGTAGCATCAAGCTACTATTTTACGTTGGTATTCCGTGAATGCAAGGTTCATAACCGTTCGAGTCGACCCATTCGTGCTAGAACCACAATATAGCTGCAACATTTTTTTTTCTACAATACAGTATAAATAAAATTAGGTAAAATAAGATTATTATACAAACTTAACCAACCCCTGAAAAATTTCCAGGTCGAGTAATCCCCGGCGCTGGTCCAGAGGAAGGCTCCCTCCAGGTCTCAGGGTCATACTCCTACGTCGGCGACGACGGACAGACTTACACCATCACATACACGGCTGATGAAAACGGTTACCAAGCGAGCGGTGATCACCTCCCCACCCCACCGCCGATACCCGAGGAGATCTTGAGGAGCTTACAATTGACGGGTGGATCAGGTGGTAAGATCAAGAATTATTATCGTTAAACGCACAATTGTTCAAATCTACTACTGGGATTTCCCTTGTCTATCACACAGTATCTATAACAAAGAAACAAGACGTAACATTACATAATTTCTATTCAAAAAGTTGTCTTCTTGCAATGCTCCAATTTTTATTTTATATAATGAATATACAAAAAAAATAGAAGTCATGGACTGCCAACAACTAAAAACTATCAAATAATAGAGCTTTTGTTGAATTTTCAAATTAATTGTAGTACCAAAAAATAATTTAAGCATATATTACATTCAAGTATAATCTTACTTTCACTGCTGTCCAAGTACAATACGATACGCCAAACAAGCTTTGTAGCGTATATTTGTATACTGCTATTATAGCATGTTGGTGCCGCGAACATGTACGATTTTACCCATCTAAAAAACCTCCCAACTCTCCTACAGAAGTTTTTACTTCAAAAAAGTCGGAATTTTAATGGCTTTTTAAACTATGTCTTAACACTGTTTTCAGAAGCTAATCATTCATTCGTTAAAGCCTATCGAAAGTCCGCTGCTAAAGTAAGCCTCCCTCACAGATTGCGATACTTGCCATAGATGCTACACTTGGCAGGTTTTAATAGCATGGGTGACAAACTAGCACACAGTCCACCTGACGGTAAGTGGATGCTGATGTGCTAGACGTGACGTCCACATTTATCCTCAATTAAGAATCAAAATGCAAATGAGTTGTCACGTCTGAGGACCTTCGATCAATTATATGAGGACTAAAGTTCTCTACTCGCACTATACGAAACACGGCAGCTGATTATACGCTGGTATTCTGTGAGAGCACAGTCCTACCCCGGTCGAGCCGACCCATTCGGTCTACAACTATAATATAGCCATGTAAGGATGGTTGGAGATATCAGAAAAATACTTTTCAATTTCCCACTTGGCTCTTCCAACACCAACGGGGTAATATGGGATGTTGATTCTCTCTCGACATAAATACACGGTGACAGAAGCTATTATGAGTAAATTATTTTTTTTAGTTCTTAGTAGTCGTTTTTTTAAGTAAAAGTTATTTTTTATTCTTTTGAATCGACAAGTGTGCCGATATAATACAAGCAATCGGTAACAAATTAAAATGTCTTTAGATATAGTTACATAATACTTGATCTCCTGAATTTCCACTCTAAGTGGATGAATTTTTTCTTTAAATTTATATTATAAGACGGGTGGGTCTTAATAATAGCCTATTTAAAATAGAGAACTATTGAAATAAGTTCACAAGGAGGGCATCCTCGACTTTTTTCCCCGTCAGGGCGGTGCCATTTAGGATTATTAGTTCATTTATTTTGAAGTTCTTATTTTTAAATTAATCGAGATCCATAATTGATTTTATTTCTTTTTCCTTTTTAGGTCAGTACGATAGCAAGAAAAGCAGCTACGACGCTGATGCAGGCTACTAGCAATCAAAATAAACGTCATACTTAAGTCTCCAAGCAGTGAACCACAGATCAACTTATTTTATTTTTTTTAACAAATTTGTGTACATATTGCCGCTTTTAATGTGTGAGTCGGTTTGTGGTTTACTATGAAGAAAACTGGACAAAATGGCCAGTACGTGATTTAAAATTTAGTTTGTATGATTAAAATGTAAATATATTTATAACACAATGAAATGTTGTTTTAGTACATTTGCAATCATGGACTTAGAATATATACTAGGTATAGCCCAGACGATCTAACAGCCCGAAAACGTGTGACAAATTTTGATTTGTCACGCGTTTTGTGTGTTAGCTAAGTGATATACAATTTTATAGCATTTAATTTTAACTTATTTAATAATCTGACATTTCGGGCACTTCACAACACCCATGAACATGAGGGGTGGGGTGGATCCCGACGCTATAGTTAACGAAGGCTACTTTGAACTTTTTAATTATTTATTTTTGGTCCAATCTACGCAGAACGAGGTTACAGTATCTTGAAGTCTTGCAGTAGTATGCTTGGGTCTGGATTTAATCTTATTAATTACGAGATCCCAGGTACATGGCAGCATCTAGCTACCTTCTCTATTGAAATTAGGATGTTTTGTTTTCCCCGATCGAGCCGACCCGTCCGTGCTAAAACCGAACATGTCCGAAGAACCTCAACGCCCGGACATGTCCGAAGAAGTATTTGAGGTTGCAAAACAACACTTTTTAAAACAATTAGAAGCGACTATAGAAGAACGAGATAATATTCAAAAAAACACTTTGCAACAGAGCCATAGTCAAGATTGGATTGAGCAAAGAAAAAAGAGACTGACAGCATCAATATTTGGAAAAATTTGTAAAAGAAAAAATAATATTAGCTGTGCGCCACTAGTACAAGCAATAGTTAGCTCAAAAGACTTATCATACATATCATCTATTGTATACGGAAAAGCAAATGAGGAAAAAGCATTACTGCAGCTCTAGGTGCAGCGTCAGGAAAAAATAAACATTTCAAAATGTGGACTTTTTGTTCACAAGACGTATTTTTTTTGGCTGCTACTCCTGACGGCATTTTCAAGGATGAAGAAGGAAAAACAGGCGTTGTGGAGGTTAAATGTCCTTTTGCTGCCAAAGATATGCACCCTGAAGACGCCATTAAAGAAAAAAAATAACCTTTTGGAAATACGACAAAAAGAATATATTCAAAGTAAATAAAAACCTATTAGTACCAAATTCAAGGTCAACTTAATATAACGGAACAAAATATTTGCGTGTTTGCAGTTTGGACTAGTGAATATAAACCGATGAACGTAGAATATATAGCAAGGGATAAAAGAGTTTTGGGAAACAAAAATGCTGCCTTTGACAAAGTTTTACCACAGTTGTCAGCTACCAGAACTAATTGATTCGCACCTTGAACGTTCTATGCCGATAAAAGACCCACCATTTATAACAGAAGCAATAGAAAATAAAAAGCATAAAATATCCCCAAAAAGTTAACCCCTACACCATACACAAAATACTCGAAAAAACTTTCTTATTTTTAATCTTGTCACCAACTAAATAAATAAATATTTGTGTATTCAGTTATTCTTTTGTTTGAATTTTTTATCGATTGCCTTCTAAATTACTTCTCTATACGATTTTTCTTTAAAAAAAACAGATATAATAGCTATTTGTATGTTCAGTTTGTATAAAAAAATCATATACATCCGATTAGACGGGAGGAGTTGGAATCATGGAGCTGAACCACATTTCATACAAAAAAAATTTAATTAAAAAATTTACTGATTCATAATACAAAATGTACAAGGTAGAGTCGTAATGTGTATGAATGAAAACAAGAAGCAGTATTTTTTTTCCTTCGGTTCTATTTACCCTTTTTAAACTTACAACCCGTATAAATATGACTAAAACGACATTTATGAAATATAAAAGGGTAAAAAATTTTACTACCACAACAAAAGTAAATGGAATATTTTTGGAAAAAATATTAATAAGTTATATATTTAATGAAATAGAGCAAATTCACTTGCGATCTCGAACGTATTTATGCACGGGGGAGAGCGCCCCCTCTAATGGCTGGAAATGTAAAACAGCACAGCTAGGCGGAAGCCTTAAGCCGTTATTTCTATAAATACTATTAAATATAAATAAAGCGCCTGATGAAAATGTCACGGCAAATATTCACAAGGGCAAATTGTTTATTGTGGATAAAAAAATTGTTCAGTCGTCCATATATTTTTTAAATATCAACTAAATTATTTATACCTTTAAATATGTTTTCAGTCAAATCCGAATTCGAAACTATGAAAGATGTAAAATGCTGGTGGAATAACTGGACACAATTAAACCTGTACGAATATATTCAAATTCAAATTCAAATTCATTTTATTCATTTGCGATATATGGGTTACAATAGGTCGTAATAATTTAACAAAATACAGCCATATTGCTACCTTTCGGTATGCAAACTACTTAAATATTAGATATTTAATTAAAATTAAATGGAAAATGCCGATAATTACATTAACATAATATAACCCTATTTGTATATTTGCGCTACTAACATAATAATAATTCACAAAATAATGATAAAATACATGTAATAATTAAAATTGTAATGTCCAAGTAATAATGTCAAAACGAGTAGGTATAAATTGTCTCAAAATTAATAACATAGATAACGTTTCGTTCAATAAATTTGATAGTTAAAATTTAAAAATTGTCATATAGATAATCGTCAATATTATAATACGCTTTTATGGTTAAAAATGTGTTTAGTTGTTTCTTAAAAATGTGAAAGCTCTTAGAATCTCTTATATATTTAGGTAAATGGTTATACAGTCGAGGACCCATACAGAATACGCTTTTTTTGAAACAAAACAGTCTTACTATTGGGATGGCTCAATTTATCTTTATGACGCTGGACATTTAGTTTTTTGTAAAAACTTAAGTTTTGACGTACAAATAAGACTATCTCATATATATATAGACATGGCATTGTTAATAATTTTAAATTGATGAAGTATGGCTTACAACTCTCACTTTGGTTAATTTTACAAATGGCTCGTAAGCATCTCTTTTGAGCTTTAAATACTGTTTCTTTGTCCGTACAATTACCCCAGAACATAATACCATATCTAAGTGTAGACATAACATAAGCATGATATGATGCCAACACAACTTTTCCAAGCATATATAACGCATACGAAAAACGATTTAATTTCATACACACACTGCTCACATGAGACTGCCAGTTCAAATTGCAATCTACATTTATACCCAAAAATTTTATATTATCTATGGTATTGATTTTTTGTCCTAGATAATTGATATTTAAATTATTTATTTTATTACGTTTTTGATAGAATGTCATAAGTTTTGTTTTTTCTAAATTTATATTTAAATTATTTATGTTTAGCCAATTCATGATTTTCTCTAAAGCAAAGTGTATGTTACTTTCTAAATCTATTTTGTTTCTGCTAGTGAAAATAACTGTGCTATCGTCAGCAAATAATACTATTTTGTGATTAATGACGTTGGGAAGGTCGTTGATATAAATAAGAAACAACAATGGTCCTAAAACACTTCCTTGCGGTACTCCAGTTTGTACGACTCTGTATTCAGAAACATAGGTCATTTCTTTTCTTGATTTTAGACAAATTTTTGTAATGTGTGTACTTTGTTTTCTGTTAACTAAATATGATGTTAGTAGATCTAGTGCATTACCTCGAATGCCGTAGGCTTCAAGCTTTTTGAGTAATATTTTATGATCAACATAATCAAATGCTTTAGTAAGATCCATGTAAAGTGCACATACAGGTATTTTATTGTTTAGGCTAGACATAACGGTATTAAAAAAATTGTATAGAGCCATATTTATAGTCTTATTTTTTCTAAATCCTATTTGTTCTTCTCTAAGAATATTGTACGTTTCAAGGTAGTTATATAAAGAGTTATAAATTATTTTCTCAAATACTTTTGAGAGCACAGGTATAAGCGCAATGGGCCTATAGTTAGACATATTCTCCCGATCATTTTTTTTTGAACAGTGGTTTGACAATTGTAGACTTTAGTCTTTCAGGAAATATACCATTACAAATACATAAATTGAAAATATAACTAAGTACCGGAGCAATTGCACCGGATACGTATTTTAGAACTCTTGTACAAATTTCATCACAACCGGTACTGTTTGTGTTTTTAAGAGATTTTATAGCTTTATCTATATCAAATGATGTTGTGGGTGGTATAAAAATTGAATTGGGATTGTTAAAAGTTAACTTATATGGTTTATCACTATTTGGGCGGTCTTTATTAATTTTGTTGGTATAGAAATTATTAAATGCCCTAGCTATAACTAGAGGATCCTCAATTATATCACCATCAACAATAATTTTACTAATTGCTTCTTCATTTGTGCCATTTTTGTATTTATTTATCACTTGCCAGGTAGCTTTCGATTTATTTTGTGCTGTGTTAATATAGTAATTATTTTGGGACTTTTGGGTAAGTTTGATAATTTTGTTTAGACGTTGGGAATACTCTTTTAATATAGTTTTATTTTCTACGCTGCGTTTTTTTCTGTATTGCCATAATAACTGTCGTTTACGCTTAGTACATTTTTTTATCCCATTAGATAACCATTTTGTTTGTTTACGTGAATAGACTTTAATTTTAATGTCAGGAAAGCATAGGCGATAGAGGAGGGTAAACAAGTCATGAAATTGGTCAAAAGCAAGATTAGGATTTTTTTCCTTATAAACCTCGTTGAAAGTGAGAGAGCTCAAGTAATTGTTAAATTTGTGAAGATTTTCTACATTGTAATCGCGTCTGCTTATATGCCAGTAATTAAGATAGTAGCTTTGCTTGACTGGGCATATTAACAGTTGTGCCGTATGGTCTGACAAAGCTAAGTCATAAGTATTGCTCTTACACCCTTGAATATTGTGAAAAATATTGTCGATACATGTATCACTAATTAGTCGTGTAGGTACTTTTATAGCTGTTTTTAGATTGTAGCTTGTTAATAGTTGTATAAAATTTTTAGAAATTTTGGTTGCATCTATTATATTTATATTAAAATCTCCACAAATTATAATTTTATTTTTATTATTATTACAGTATTTTTTTAATATTAAGTCGAAATTATACAAAAAATTATTCAAATCTTCATTTCTATTTTTTGGAGGTCTATAGGTACATATTATTTTAAGTTTATGCTCTATAAGTTCAACTGCACAACATTCAATTATGTTCGTTTTACTAAGTTGTGCTATTTCAGGAAGAGGTTTATATTTATGACATTTCTTAACTAGTATGCAGGAGCCTCCATGACGATTTTCTCGAACATGGTACGATGCAAGAGTATAATTATCTAATTTGAATGAATTCGTATCATTGTAAGTCATATTATGTTCAGTTATGCATAGAACATCAGCCGAGTACCCATCTAATTCAAGGTTATTTAAATGAACAGTTAGGAGATCAGATTTAGCAATTAATCCATTAATATTTTGATGTAATATATATAGTTTTTTATATACGAAAAAGATTTTTACCAGAATGTGTCATATTTTCATGCCTGGGAGTGATTTCCTCTATGATATTGTCTTTCAATATATCGTCACTTTGTGTACATGTGTCTACCATTTCAATATTGTCAGTTTGTGTACTAGTAGTCTGAAGTGGAGTAAATTTTGAGGAAATTACTATATTTTGGTAAAGCTCAAATTTTAATTTGTAGTCGAGGCGTAGAATTTCACGTAGCAGAAAACGACATGGTATATATGGAGTAAAAGTATATTGATGAAAGAAAGGCTTCGAACCATTTGTATTTATAAACGAAACATTAGTAAAGCTTGTACATATAAATCTTAATACATAGTTAAGTTTGCCGATGTTTAAATTTCTATTATATGGTATTTCTGTAAATATTACATTAGTATTTGTTACACTATAAAGCCAGCTCCTGATACAAA